GATCGAAACCCACTCAATAGATTACCGCGTACACCGAGCCTGACGAGTTTTTCAATCGCAATAGATTGGTTCAACTTGTCTGAATGCATAACGTCCGTTTGAACCCGATCCGACAGGCTTTCGGTTATATACGAAGTGAGACACAGCAGATTGGTGGTTGTAGAGCGGCCCATGTTGATCAGCACTCAAATACTGCTTGTAATAGGACAGCAACAGTTCCACAATCACTAGTTCGAATAGCTTTGAAACGGCACTTAACGATGTTTTTTTTTTTTTCCTCTGTTCGGGACCTAACACTACTGCGACCAGTAAATTGATCTATTGTAGTATATCCCGTGTCCTTAGTTTAGTGCATGTCGTATTACTTCATCACTATTGAGAAATGATGAAGTATTCGATTTTTTTACAGTTGTCACTCTTGCATTTATCGCAAGGATCCGACTCTAATTGAAAGGTCCCGCTATTTATACCCTTCGGAGTGTTGAAACACCCTCACTTAAGTGTTGAAACACTTAACGATGTAGTTCCTCTATAGTTATCCACAGCTTGTTTCCTTCCCTTTTTGTGGACGGGAAACATGTGCGCAAATTTCCAGCAGGATGAAAATATGCCACTGAAGAGAGAGACATGCGGAACTGATGATGAAGCGGAATTAACAAGCTAGCAATATGTCTCTTCAAAAATACAGATGGATCCTTCAAGTCCAGCACCAGCCGATACCGCCTGTATTGAAATCGGAGTACTCCCTTTCCGATATTACATTGCGGAAACAATCGGTACCAGAGCCGTGGGCCTCGACGCAAAATTAAGCGGAGACGGAGAATTCTATCTCCTCACAGAAGGGAAACGAATCCTCCAGGAAATCGCTCATCAGGAGCTCCCCCCGGTGGCCCAGCACCACTGGAGCGGAGCCAGAGAGTGGGATTCTTCCCCCATCCGAGTGGACAAATTCATGGCCAAGCAGTTCCGAGCAGGATACAACTCTACGACAATGAAATCCTGCCTCACCGAATTATTATTATTATTTATCTTTATTAGGGAGGCTTTCAGCCTGGGGCTGGTTCGCCTCCAACGCCCTAACCGAATTACTACAAACACGGTACCACAACTACGAACTCCGTTTCGCCGACGGCTCCAAGGCAGGAGGTAGGGTCGGCTTTGGAGTAACTGATGGACAGACCTCACACTTCTGGAGACTCCACGATCAATGCTCGGTCTTCTCGGCCGAGACTGCAGCCCTTCATTACGCACCTTCCCTACTATCCTCATCTCCGCTATGTGTACTAACCGACTCTGCTAGCGCCCTCGCGGCACTGGAATCCGCCACCGCCCGCCACCCCTGGATTCAGGCCATACAAAACCAAGGTGGGCAAGAATAAAAAAAAACTGTCTACGTAATTAATGAATAGCCCCTTACCGTCACGACAACATTTAATTGTTTATTATAAAGGAAATAATGTCTTGGGGTACTTCATATCAAAATCAAAAGATCGATCTATCAAAGATCGATTCTTTGGTACCGATTTAATCAGTGGATCGATTATAGAGCCAAATATAAGATTGATCCGTCAAGATCGATTTTTCTCTGAACATCGCCCAATCCTAGCTGGTACATGTGAGTCAGCCTCACATAATGAAGTTTCAGAGGAAGCGGGCTACTTACTTACTTACTTAATGATCCTGCGCACCTCCAGATTTCCATCCTGGGCGATTAATAGCTTTGGCCTTGACCTGGGCCCAAGTCAAATTTCGGTCAACATTCTTAATTTCACTGTTTAGGCTCCGACGCCACGAGCCTCTGGGCCTGTCTCTGCTGCGATGTCCTGCTGGATTTCAGTCCAGTGCTTGCTTGCAGATTTCGTTTACGCTCCGTCGTAGTGTGTGGTCGACCCACCTCAACTTCCGTTCACGAGTTTCTGTCTCTATCGGCTTCTGATGGCACAAACGATGAGCTCGGAATTTGAGATCCAATTGTGGGGCCACCAGGCACGAATTATGTACCGCAGGCATCGGTTGATAAACACCTGCAGCTTCTGAGTGTTCTCCGCTGATACACACTATGTTTCACTTGCGTATAACAGCACAGACTACTTCACGTTCGAGTTAAAAATTCGGATTTTGGTGCGTCGACTGACCTGATTCGCTCTCCATACATTTCGCAAACTGGCAAAAGCAGCCCTCGCCTTCTTAATCCGTGCACCTATGTCGCTCTTGGTGCCGCCGTCCGACGCTATCTGGCTGCCGAGATATTGAAAGCTTTCGACTTTCTCCACTGCCTGCCCTGCTACCGTGAAATTGGAACGGTTTTCCGTGTTGACATCCAACGATTTGGTCTTGTTGACGTTGATGGTTAGACCTGCTTCAGAGCAGCGTTTCACAAGGTCGTCGAGCTTACTCTGCATGTCAGAGCGCCGTTGTGCTAATAATGCAACATCATCAGCCAAATCGAAGTCGTTGAGATGCTCCATGGTAATAGGCTGCCACATTAACCCACGGTTCGGTACACGGTCAACGGCTCCAACCATGATCTCGTCGATTAAGATGAGGAACAGTAGCGGTGACAATATACATCCTTGCCTTACACCCGCGATTACCCGAATTGGGTCAGACAAAGCTCCGTTGTGCAACACTCTTCATGAGAAAGCCTCATACTGCGCTTGGATGAGGTTGACGATCTTATCAGGGACTTCCTTGCGTCTCAGAGCGCCCCACAAGTTTTCGTGGTTTAGTCGGTCGAAAGCTTTTTCGTAGCCAATGAATACCAAGTACAGGGACCCTTGGAACTCATTCACCTGCTCCAAGATGATGCGGAGCGTGACAATATGGTCCACACAGGATCTTCCAGCACGAAATCCTGCCTGCTGCCGTCGGAGAGTCGCGTCGATCTTCTCCTGTATCCGATTGAGGATAACTTTACACAGAACTTTGAGAACAATACACAGTAACATGATGCCTCGCCCCCTTTTTTGGGACTTTTACGGGCGATACTTGGTAAATCTTCTCAATGCTGCTCTCTTGATTGACTACGTAGCTCTCTCGTTTGCCAGGAATTAATGAAGCCTTGTCCTGAGTGCTCACGAAGCAGAGGTCCAAACTACGATTATTTTCATTAACTACGAAACCGTTGATGCGCTGTAGTTGTCGAGAAGGCTTATAGCTCCTGCGTGAAATGTAGAGCTATCAGGACCTGGACAGGAATGCGCTATGAAATGGACTCCATGAAACGCCTGCCAGATTGAAGTAAACCAAAATGAATATCTCATCAACTGGAGTGACACTTTCGATAACTATGAAAACTGACCGACAGTGAGGATCGGCGAGTTCATGGTCCCGGACTCGATCAGGTGGAATGTACAGAGCGCATAGACATAGTGTGCGATCACACAGATTGATGACTGTCCAACCTGCTCCACATTGTTCCATGAATCGTTCTCGATGGCCGCCTCCAACCCGCCACGGACAACTACAAGGATGTGTACTAGAAAGGAGTTTTGTTTACAAAAGCTTATTGGACCATTTCAATTGTTGGTCGAGAGTTCGTGGAAGCATGCTTAAGAATTGGAAAAGAATCGTAGAATGATTTCCATGAATTTTCAAAAATAAATCACAGGATTATTCTTGAGGAATTTTCATAAAAACTCTGAGAAAACTGTGGAGTATTTCAAAGGGAATTGCTGTGATGACTTTCAACAAAATTGGTAAAGTAATTCAGACATAGCAAAAATTTCAAAATCACATTGACATTCTGGCTTGCCAGAAGGGAGAAAATTTTATGACTCTGGGAATTCTCCAATTTCTAAGACTAGCAACCCAAAGATGGAGAACTGTGGAGAATTAAAAAATCAATTGCCATCCCTAATAAAACAAATATCATACCCGAACGATAACCCAAATGAAAGAACGACTGATCGCGGAAAGCCATTTCGCGGAATCCCATTTGGCGCAATGCCCCATTTCACGGAAACCCTTTTCGCGCAATTCCTCACCTCGCTGAAGTCGATTTTGCGGAAGGCTCTACTTCGCGGAATCCCTAAAACGAATTTCATTTTGATAACTGACTTACTTTTTATACACATTTTGTGTTGAAGATTACGAGTACAGGAATACTCGGAAGATCTATGATAACTCATATTTAAAAGAAGGAAAATTCACCAAAAATTATTTAATTCAGATTTCGCATTGACCATTGTAATCCAAAAACTTGTGAGTTTTTCTAAAGTTCTGAATACCGAATATAAAGGAAAACTCAAAACAACTGCTCATGTTTAAAAGAAGGAAAATTCACCCAGATCATTATTAAGATCAAACAATAGTTAGAGTTATTAATTCATCAAAAATTCCGCCAAAAAGATTTCCGCTAAACAGGTTATTCCGGCAAATGGAACTCCGTGAAGAGTAAATGGTTTGGATGCTACTCTGAACACGTCGTTAAGCAAAATGACCATACAAATGTTATTAGGGCTGCCTCTATTCAAGATTTGATCAACTAGGAAAGGGGCGTTATTTTCATGGTTTGGTTGTAATTATATCGTGAAATCCAAGCTTTTATTTAGAACATAAAAAAAATCCGACCGCATGCCGTTGACTGGAGATCGCCAAAACTCCTATCTGGATTTATTACAACAGCTTTTAGCATTCAAACAAATTATATCTTATCTAGCTATTCTGCAGCTTGAATGTTAAAGATAACATCGAAACTTCAACTACAAATTGAACACACATTTGCCTTATCAAGCCCACATCGGAAAGGCAGCTATTACTTGCCCCATTCTCTGATAAAACGCTCTGAAGCTAAAAGTGTCGGTTTGCTCACCGATTAGATAAAACTGATCAATCTCTCATATCTGGCTCCGTGCATTCGCAGCGCTTTGCACACTAACGAGGGGTGCCAGGTAGCTCATCGGTGCACGCCGTCGTCAACGGGTTCTTCAGTTTGATTACGCAATGGCATTTAGCAAGCGCCGAATAATACTAACTTCAAACAAAAGACACACACTTACCCTTGATTAGCGGTTCCGAGACCATGGTCATCTCCTCATGTGGAATCATGCCCATCAGTCGGGCGATGTCGATAGCCAACATTCGGTCGACCACTTCCAACAGGGGAATCTTCAGCGAGTGGAACTTGCTAAAGTCCTGATTGGCGAGCACCTCTTGCATCTTTTTGATATCGGGAAAGTCACCGGGGGAAATTTGATGCTCCTTCTGGATGCGATCGTACACCTGGCCGAGGTTTTTGATGAGGTCCTTCTTTTTGCTATCCTTACCGAACACCGAAGGCATATCCTTGCGCAATTCGGCAATAATGAAGGCATGTACCTTGGCCAAACGAGCTCGCTTGATAAGATCGTTCAGCTTCCGGAGGGCGGCATTTCGTGGGAGGGACTGCAAGTCTCGGAACAAATCTTGTTCTTCATCTTCAAACAAACGACGGTTCCCGTCGTAGCGAAGAGGTTGATCCCAGAAGGAACCAATGTAGACACGAGCCACCTCCGGAGTTTGCAGAACCTTGCCCAAAGACCACATAAGAGCTCCATAAACTCGCATCAACTGCTGATGATCGATCATGTCCGCTTTGTTCAACACTATCCGGATCTTGTCGTCGTGACCGCGGAGGGCTTCGATCGAACGACGGAATTCATCCGAAATATCCAATTTATGTGCATCGAACAGCAGAATGATACGATCCACACGTTCGGCGAACCACTCCAGCACCCCAGTGAAATCATAACCGCGGTCAACTCGCTGCTTCTCGCCGGACAAAATACCGGGAGTATCCACAATCGAGATCGCTCTCAAAACCGGCGAAGGCACTGTCGAACATTGGAACCTGTTCAGGAATGCATTTCCATACTTTCCCAGTGGTCTGAACTGCTTCTTCGGATCCACGACCAGCGCATTGCCGGGAATCATGCCATCCTTATCGTCGTACATAACGGCAATGAACCGATCCGTCGTCGGTTCCGGGCCAATCCGAATGCCCGGGAAGTCACGTTCCAGCAGATATCGAATGAAGGTCGTCTTACCGGTCGAATATTGACCGACCAGCAGGATCATTGGCTTTGCATCGAAATCCGGATCCTCCAGCTTCGGCGAGTGAAATTCGTGGAAGTTGTAGTGCTCTTCCAAGGGAAGCAACTTGCTCTTGTAGATTTTCTTCAGCTCCCCGAGCACATTCTCGACCACCTCCTCCGTTTTCGTTTCCCGTTTCAACCAACTGAACATTTTCACTGTCTTCTTGCTTCACGCGCAACTTGCTCCAAATTTCCTTCTCCTCCGCGCTCTATATAATTTCACACAGAAAGAAAAATTAGTCACCCGCGTTTGGTCAAACCACTCTCGGACGGGGGGCGGATTTCTTCCAAGGGCGATACGGACACTGATACCGATTTCCCGTACCGAACCGGAACACTATCCACTCGCACTTCCGATCACAACTTTTTTTTTCTGCAACGCGGAGATTTGACCAGCAAAAGAAAGTGCACTACTAATCAAATGAGAAAAAAGAGGATCAAGGCAGCAATTTTAATCGCGATCGCGTACGCGTTTGTGGATACTCTCTCGGATCTCTACTGAATATTGGATTCGATCCGATTCGATTCGTTCGTCCAGAGTAAAAGGAGAATGATGACACATCACAAGACTTTTCGTTGTTTTCTTTTTGATTACGCTGTTCTTCTTTCTCAACCCACGAAACGTCAAATTGTGGCGTTCGAGGGAGCGGACAAATAAATGTGCCTCTGTTTCATAAGAGCTAAACTACTTTTACTATAATGACTTCAACCACCGCTTTCTCGCAGATAAAATGCAAATTAACAATACCAGCTGGTAGAAGAATCTTTTTTCCGCCTGATGGAGTCATTTACTTGCATATGTAAGCATTGAATCGCTGAAAATCGATGGCTAGAGACTATGTTTTCAATAGCAATTTCGCCTTTTTGAAATGTTGACACCGATAATTATGATTATTCTCGTCATTTTTCGTCATTGGTAGCAGAGGATTTCTCGCGTCACTTTTCAAATAGACCAATGTAACATATCCACCATTTTGAGAAAATCGAAGTTGAAGTTCGACAGATTAATAATATAACTGTTTAAAAACAATACATTTAGCAATACTCTTTTTAATGTAGTCGGTGTTATAAAACCGTTGAAAATTCAGAAGAAACGGTAAAATCACAATTTTACTTTGAATGTCATGCTACAACATAGAAAAAACCACATAGGACCTTTTGACAAGTCGAGTTGTACATCGGACATGTTACATTGGACGATTTTTCTCAATGACATAATAAATGAGTGTTACATTGGACATTTTGTCTACATGATACTAGATTCCCTTTCACGGATTTCAGAGTATAGTGTGAAAATCCGCCGATATTAGCTATGGGCAAATCACCCACGGCGCAGCTAATTATTGTTCAACTTACCCGTGCCTTCTCGTGGCATTCGTTTTTCAGTTCCTGGTGGTCCTGGGACATATTGCGGCATTCTTCGGCCGTTTTCAGGTGAAGATTGATGTCGTCTTCGCTGGATGACGGTACCTGCTCGACCGTTGGAGGCGGCGACGTTGAGGACGAGGGAAGTGTTTTCTGTTTTTGGGCTTCTGCTCGCTTCATAAGGGCTTCCCGTTCACGGGCGATTTGGTTTCTCAGCTCTTCCGGAATGGATTTGTTTAGGACGGTTATAGCACAGACAAACAGACATCACAGTAGCAAGTTGTTCATCGAACAAGCATTTAACGGTCAATTTAAAAGCAAGGTTGCAAAGACTCATTTCAGCTAAAACAATGTTTTTCTAAATTATGAAATAATTAGATGCCATGATCAAATTTTGAATTGGTAGGATACAAGAAAAGGTTGCAAAGAATGTGTGTGACATATTAAACCTGTTTATTTCACTTCATGAGAGTCACAATCAGCGATTTTTCACAAACTCACTCACTCACTCACTCACTCACTCAGCGATCAGCAAATCGCTGATTGTGACTCATAGAAAGCAAAATTTACAGGTTTTATGTTTCCAACGCATACTTTGTAACCTCTTCTTGTAAGTTACAAGTAAAACATGCCATCATACCATCTTTTGGTTTAATTATTCCGAAAAACATTATTTTAGCTGAAATGAGTCTTTGCAACCTTGTTTAAAAGTATCGTAGTTGGTAGTACCGCCACCTGTGGTGCGCATAGTCATTTCTCTTGAGTTTGACGTTTACACACTACCGCCATCTGTTCAGCGTACTACCCACCACAGTGTACTTAACAGATGGCGGTAATGTTTTAGCGACGATGTTTTACATTGAGAAATATTCAATGTGTTATGTCTGTTTGTCTGTGGTTATAGTGTCGCTGAATTTGTGAGCATGTAGGATTTCTGCCAGGACTTTCTCGTCAATGATAGGATACATTTCGGCTAGCTGTTGACGAGTCAGATGCGAGGCCAGATCTTGCGGAGCTTGCTTAGCCCAGCCGTTGATTCCGCTTCGGTACGCCGTTAGGGCATACTCCATTTCCATAATGTCGTTCAGTTTGGGGGAATCCTCGATGGTCTTTCCATTTGCTGTGCCAATCGAGCATCTTTTTTCATAAAATCTTGTTTTTCACATGCAGCTGTACATGAAATCCTAGAACGACAAAAACAACTGTTCTGCCATTTCGGTAGCCATGAAAACCTTTGTTCGTTCATTGGTTAGTTCGTCTAAGGAGATGGCACCCGAGCCATGCTTATCCTTGAAAGTGGCGTGTAGCTGGCTTATGAGAATAATTCCCAACGTCACTTCCAGCACTTCGGCATCGTTTTGTAAATCTTCCGCTTTGTCTTTTCTTTTCGTTGTGTTCCGGAGTGACCGATCGATTTCGTAACCCCCTCCACCACCACCACTACCGGAGGGATGACCGTAAAGCACTTGCGATACCATTGTTTCATTGCAATCACATTCAAACGCGAGTAGGCCGCCAACCGCACCGGCTTCCAAATTATCCGCTGTCTCGAATTCGTATGTCTTCTGCTCTTCTAGCAACAGATTTGCTGTCCAATCACCGTGCCCATTGCATTTCTCGAACAAATCCCACAGATACTGGACCGGAATCTGGGGATGGAGGATGCAAATTTCCGAAAAGCTAGTGTTTTGCTTCCTCGTCTGTGTCTGACCAGAGCAATCCGTTTCTTTTCCGATTTCTTCTTTTTGCTGGGCTTGATCGGCGTCACACCTGTAAAAATTCGTCCTCACTCGTTTTCTCAGAACGGCCGTCCTTGTCGCGTTCTCTCCTGTGACTTTGCCACGGCGAGTAGACGATTTTTGCAAATCCGTCCTCACTCGCATTCAGAACGGCCGTCCCGGTCGCGTTCTTATCCTGTGGCCGTGCCACCACGAGGAGACGATTTTTCGCAAATCCGTCCTCACTCGTTTTCTCAGAACGGCCGTCCCTGTCGCGTTCAAATTTCCAATTTTCCTTGCAAGTGGGTGATTTGCCCTTTATTACCTATCGGTGGTCTCCAAGATTCCAGATTCGTCTCCTGGCAGGATCGCCAGAAATGTGAAAATCCGCCGATATTAGCTATGGGCAAATCACCCACAGCGCAGCTAATTATTGTTCAACTTACCCGTGCAGCAGCTGAATCCAAAAATGACCTTTCACCAACTGACAGGAAATGTGTAAGAAAAGTCATGACCTACCTAGTTATTATCCATCTCATATAGTACCTAACTTTAGATTGGCCCGCCTTTGGAAAATCAGCACCAATCATGTTAGGCAGTCCGAATGACCGAAGTAACAATCATGTACCCATCATTTCAAACTGTATAGATATAGGAAAAAAAAGCAGCAAACGACTCAAAGTTGGAGCTGCGGTTCTGATGATGCCATTTTCATTTCAACCTGTCAATTCGTTCGATGTATGAAGTTTTTCAACACAAATTATTGAATTACTCTAGTTGCATCATGTTTTTCACTGTAATATTGTAACTGCAGGAAATAAAAAGACTTCGTTTATCCATATATCTGTAAAATTAAGGGATTAAGTGATACAGGATCCGAGACAGGATCATCGAATAGTTGTGTAGTTTCCTACTGCCGAAATTTTATCGGGCTCCCGGAATCGACCGACCCAAGCGTTCCTGCAACTAGGTCAATCCATCGGTTGTGTAATATAACGTTGTACGATGTACATCCATAGAGGTAACTCCAAGACCAGAAGGTCCCGAATTAACGTGCTGAACTTTTTGGCTCAGCTCTGCTACTATCTTCGGTTCCAAGCTAATCGATTCACCCCTCGAAACATCTGAAAATCCACTAACCCCTCATTTTATCTGTCAAACTTTCATGTAAGAAAAAAGTACCCAAAATAGAGTTCCTTTAACTCATCCTGTGGCTTCCGCGGGGCTAGGTAAAATTAAGTTAAAGAAGAAAACTCAATTTTGAGGAATCCTGATCATGAATCCACGTTGACCAAGTTGACAAAAAAATAATAAAACGGAGCAGACCGGAACCGAACCATGGACGTTGAGATTACGGGGGTCGTGTGTTGACCACTCGTCTATCAACACTTGTGAAAATGAAATGGTTAAAGGCGCATAAGAGCAACCTCAATGAAAATAAACTTATATTTGAGTTCATTTATTATTACTCAATAGTTGAGTAAATTTTAACCAACGCCGCTTTTCTGATTCACTCAACGGCGGACCACAAATGATAGAACCCAACGTTGAGTTTTTTTAACTTAATTGTGAGTATTTTTTCTTACCGTGTAGTTATGAACATCTCAGCGTGCAGTATTATTTTTCTATTTTGCTACCAATGTGATTGTGACAGTGGTAGCCAATTTTCCGTTTTGTTTTTAACGGATTTGAAGGAGGAGGTGAGGGCTGAATGCTGAATACGAGCCTGAATGTTCATTCTACGATTTGCTTTCGCTTTTCATTCGTTGCTCGTCATCACTAGAAGTCGGACGCGAAACGTTTTTCGCTAATTTTTCACATCAACTCTCCATTTTGGATTTTTCGGTGTGTGACGTGCAGGAAGAAAAAAGGTGATTTTTAGTGGAAAAAACTAATTTTTACTCGCCGAAAGCTGCGGAAATTGAAGTAAGTCCGATTTAACATCGGGATTCTGTATAATTGAGAGTGGTTTTTGAGTACTTGTCTATTTAAAAACGGGTTTTTATCCACTGCATTCGTGTCAATGCGGTGCCCAAGCTTGCGGGGGGCGCCATGTTTGATTTGCAGAAATGAAGGAAAAAACGCTTTGGTTGGTAAACTTATGCTTCATTTGATTTTTAAATTACAGGTTGCCAAGAATTATTGCCAGCAACAATGGTCGGTTCGCGTGTTTATGTGGGAGGGCTGCCGCACGGCGTACGAGAACGCGACCTGGAACGGTTTTTCAAGGGCTACGGTAGAACCCGGGATATTCTGATCAAGAATGGCTATGGTTTTGTGGTAAGTTTCTGGGAAAAATTCGGACAGTACTTTGGTCGTGGCTTGCTAAAACCGGAATTATATATTACAGGAATTTGAAGACTACCGTGACGCAGATGATGCAGTGTATGAGTTGAACGGGAAGGAAATACTCGGGGAAAGGTAAGAAATTAAAACCATTTCGTAAATCAATCTTTATAGTCTATGCTTAGTAAAACGTACGTTTCAAACATAATAACATATATAAACAGGTTAATAAAATTAATAACTGCCATTGCTTGGTAATCGAAAGCAACCAAGCTTGAGATTGCAATCGATTTCCCCTTGCTTGACCAAGTGGCATGTGCAAATTCATGCACTGCATAGCTCTAAATGTTTGTTTTCGCTTATCATTCACCGCAACCACAAGGCTAAAAATACACGCAATGTGGAAATTCACTGTTCTCTTGTCAGCAATGCTTTGCAATTACCTATATGACTCGTAATATTTTCCTCTAGTTGAACTTAGATTCACAGTTGCCGTATGATGTCAAGCCTATTTTGTTGGACTTCCATGAAGAATAAATTTATGCATTCAAGTTCAATGACCTTACACCCAGTCGAGTCGCAAAAAGCGTAGGAGCTTTGAAAAAATTATTCATTTGCGCCTGTTTTCGGCTTATTTGCTTGTGGCAAACTGACACCAAAGAAGAAGACACTTAACGCCTTTTGTTCTTTATTTCTTTCTTTCGTTATTTACAGAGTGACCGTCGAACCGGCTCGCGGAACAGCACGTGGGCCCGGTGGGCGTCGTGATCAAGACAGACACGATCGTTACGATCGCCGTGGCGGTGGAGGCGGAGGCGGAGGAGGACGTTACGACAAGTAAGTTTAAGGCGTCGTATAGCGCTTCTTCGCATCTTACATTGCAAACTCATAATCATTATCACACTATATGAGAAACAAGTACGACGGACGACCCTGGGCTTGTGTGCAGATGTGGATCGCTGAGTTAATCGGAATTGTAGAACATTTTCCAGAATAAACAACGCGCCCCAACTTGTCTGCATACTACGCGTCGTCTAATGTCTTGTCTTTCTATCTCTCTCCCCATCATTCTCAACTCCGAAATCGTCTTTTGTGTATTCGGTTTCATTAGAAATAGAAGCAATTCCAGGAACAGCTCTCGCTACGGGCCACCACTCCGGACCGAGTACCGTTTGACGGTGGAGAATCTTTCGTCGCGTGTTAGTTGGCAGGTATGTAGCTTCCGAACGACATTCGATTACCCGTAGTTTGTTGGAACAGGTTCCTCCGCCGCTCTGGTCGGAGGAATCTGAATTTAAAAAAAAACCATACAGGTTTGGTTTGTACTCATACCCCTTGTGTAGTAGTTGTAACATAACTGTTAACTTTACTTTGTGCTTTTGGGATAGAAGGATTATCGAAATTTTCCTATCCAAAATATGGCACAAGCCCAAGTATGCTATTTTTGTTTCTGTTAGGCACATTTCACTTGCTATTGGTAGTAAATAAATTTAATTGGCTAAGGTTTTTTTTGGAAACGGTATGTTAGAAGACGGGTTAGTAGTGAAATTTGCAAGTGAATAACAGAAACGAAATGTGTATATAATTGTTGTTAGTTTTTTTTTCGTTTCTAAATTTGTTGTTTCTAAGACAGCACTGGCCAAGACTAAGACTGGATTAATAGATATAATTCGATAAATTGTAACGATGAATGGCACTATTTGATGTTATTCCTCTGCCAGTTGCTGTAAAAACTGTATTGAGACTCTGTATTTTATGTGATAGACTATGAATGGAATGAAACATTCAGATGCAAAACGAACATGATGCCGATTCTACGAAAAAATCCGTAGATTTAGAGGATTGATAATAAATCCTCAGGGGAACTTTTTTGTTTAAGGTCCATAAAATTCATCTTGTAAACCACCCAGCCATTTTTATCGTAATTTTGCACTCGTTCCTAACTTTTGCTATGGAAATTAAGTTTCAGTCCTGGATCTTTAACGCTTTATAATCCCATCGACCGACATGATTGTAGTACCGTTTTACTCCTTTAATCTAGTTTGAAATGAGCTGGTGGAAACTTCTAAATTTAAGCCAAAGGAAAGATCTATGTTTTTTTCATAATTAAGCAAAATTTCAGCTCATTTTGCCTCCTTGTTCTAAAAAATACAGCAGTTTGAAAAAAAAAGGTTCCCAAATAAAAAGAGATTTACTAAAATTGCTCAAGCTGCCGACAGACCCAATCGATCAAGTCCAAAATGTCCAAATGAAGCTTAGTGTGATAATTTATTAGCTAGAGAATGGTCTGAAGAGAGGGTAGGCAGATAGTTCCGCTAGAGTACGGCAGTATGAAAATTGAATAGAAGTTGAAAATGAGCGAAGGGCCTGCGTAATGCGACAGTACTAGTCAAACGCACGTTGCTTAATCTAACTCGTACGTTGCCCAAATCTTGATATTCTTGCATAAATGCAACGTATATCTCCTTCAGGTTGCTATTGGATTAGAATCTACGTTCCATTGCACGTAGCCTCCTGACTGCTGCTGTCAGCGAATCTCCCAACTGGAAATCATTGGCGGTCATCTTCCGAACGCATGAGAGTCGAGTTGAAATGATCAACGACCCTTTCCTCCTCCTCCTGTGTCAATTTGGTACTTATGTTGAAATCCTGGTGAAGATTGATTACCGAGTGATATGTGTGAATACACCATTGCTTCGAGACTCTTTCTGCAACCATCTATCCGATGATAGAACGCTGTGCTACAGGAATACCATTTAGATCCTTAGCCTGCCCGGCTTGCAGTATGAACAGGAAGACATCCGGACTAGGTTGATTGAAGTAGGGATCCGCCAGTTGCAGACCCTAGTACGGCATGCTTGCCACGTCGAAACGCTGACATGGTAGGGTAGCCGTTAGCTTTCGGCTGTTGTACCGACGACTTCTCCAGTGACTTCCAAAGAAGCATTGCTGCGACTCAACCCAAGGCGGTTGGCACATGCTTCCGTGATGAGAGATGCTTGGAAACCACAACCACACCTCCTCGAATGTTTGCCACCACCGTTGGTAGCAGTGCGAATGCCATCGGCCCATGGTGTTCGACCACCGTCTGCGCTAGTTGGTAGAGATTGTTCCACTTGCGAACTTTCTTGAATTTCTTCTTGCTTTCCTTCCGGTTGCTTGGCTTCCCGCTGGCATGGCATGGTATGGTGCATTGTGGAGTGCGACACACCGATTTCGACTGACACTGCTTCGCTGTATGGGATGGACGTAGACAATTGAAGCACAATCTTGACGTAAGGAAAGATGCATAAATGACGTAGCATTTGAGGGGGGAGGTGGGGGTTTCAGAATTTGTGACCGGCCATGTATTGTATATAGCCAAATACGCTACGAGGGGGGGAGGAGGGGTCTAAAATTGATCAAAAATATGCTACGTCATTTATGGATGCTCCCTAAGTGCCTATTCCCTACGCGCCGACACATCCAACTGATCGCAGTGGTACGTTGGATGATCCTTACTGTACTTCGCACATGACACCTATGCAGGAGCATGAAAAGCTTGAAATTTCTTCTCGCCTCCACTAATCTTCGGAATCTCCTTCTTTGTAGGTTCTCCCAGCTTCCTAGAAAACGCCGAACATGTTTCCAAAGCGTCACAGCGTTTCTGTAGGAACTCGATGAACTCGACAAACTTTTGGATTTTCCTCGTCGAAGATCTTTTGCGCTCACAGTGAGCGCGTCTCTCGGTCCACTTGCTCGAGCAGCAGATAGATGAGCCACTGATCTCGAGTGTCATATTCGTTGGAAAGAATTCACCATCCGCTGTGCGTCACCATCTAAGTACGAAAACAAATACTGCATCTTGACGGAAGCCTTTAGATCCGCCCTATTGTGGATCGTACTAACGAAAAAATTCTTGAACGAGTTCCACGCCTTTCGCTCTCTTCGAATAACGGTTATGTTTAGCTGCGGTAATTTCACATTAAGTTGGGGTTCCTAATTCCACAGCTGCCAGCTGTTGCGGTTGGTTTTGACGATCCAAAATTGCTTGCTGTGTTTCCAAAAGTGCCTTGATTGCGTCACGCAGATTACTAAGCGACTCGTTCTTCGCACTACTCTTAGACATCCGTTCCTGACGTTCATCCAGGAACTCCGTGTACAGGTTCTCCACTTGAAAATAAACTTCATCAAATTGCAGCCGGTAGTTGAATTACCTCCAGATGTGCAGTGTTCTCCTCAATCGCAGTTTGTTGTTGTTTATTGAAAAATTCAACTGACAATTATTGTCTAAATGAATAAAACTTAAACTAAATAGTTACGGTCAACGGTACGGGAAAGGCCAAGTAGCCGATGACGAAACACGTCAGCTGATGCATTGAAGTCGAACATATAAAAAAAAGTTGTTGAATTGCCGGCTGATTGCTCGAATTGGCTCGTGTTGTGTATAATTCCGGCTCCGTGGTTCCAAAAACAGAAAGTCGCGTTGACGAAGAGACCTCTCAGGGACAGACATATTTAGCTGTGATGTTGGACAGTCAATGTCACCCGTAAAAAGCTGCTTAGCGAACATAGCTTGAGCGACCGTCCGTCTCCCCTCTAATGGCTCGATTCTCAGGAGACGGCAACGCTCCTCGTACGGTGGCAAGTTCGTTGGGTCACGCCAGTTGAGGAAACGAAAAGCATATCTCACAAACTTGCGTTGAACGGATTCAATTCTAGTGATCCAGCTAGCATGGAAAGGGCACCAAACAACTGAACTTGACTCCAATAAGGATCGCACAAGCGAGCAGTAAAGTGACCTGAGGCATAGCGGGTCACGAAACTCGTCGGCAATTTGGAAAATAAAGCCCAATTGTCGATTAGCTCTGGAGATGATGCCATTGAAGTGGATTCTGAAAGTAAGTCTGCAGTCCAAGGTAACGCCGAGATCCTTTATGTGTTCTACACGAGCAAGACAGTGTCCGTAGAGAACATAGTCAAACATGATTGGTTCGATTTTTCGGTGATAGGAAATAATGTTACATTTTTCTATGCTTAGACTCATCAAATTTCTTGAGCACCAGTCAGCAAAAATACCTAACATATGCTGGAGATCCCAGCAGTCCGAGAGGCTTTTAATAATTTTGTAGATTTTCGTATCGTCTGCATAGAAAACGCGGCCTCCTGATGGTATCAGCAGGGCGACGTCGTTTAAAAAGATCGAGAATAGTAGCGGTCCTAGGTTACTGCCTTGCGGAACTCCCGAGTTGTTTGAGAAAACATCCGATTCCGACGCACCAATCTTGACATGTACATAGCGATTCGCCAAGTAAGATCAGAACCAATTCACAGCAGTTGACGAGATGCCAAGTATCTCCAGCTTGGCCAGCAAGATATTATGGTCCACCGTGTCAAATGCAGCTTTTAGATCCATATACGCAGCATCGACCTGCATCCTGAATCCATGCATCGCAGACAGTTAGAAGTGAACTGCATCAGGTTCGTGGACACGGAGCGCTTCGGGTAGAAACCGTGTTCTGTATCGGTTTAATTTTTGCAGCGTGCGAACAGAGCACCATTTATGATAATCTCGAACAGTTTTGAGCAGGCACACAGGGAGGTGATTCCACGATAATTTATGACATTCCGTTTATCTCCTTTTTTGTACACTGGGAACACTGCCGCTCTTCGCATGTCGGTCCCATAGCAGTTTTTGTCAAAACTGAGTTTTACAATGCAAATGGTAGCTGATCACCCATATTTTCTTAATACTGGATGAACTCAATAACTTTGTTCTGAAAAAGTTTGGAAAAACAGCCAAATTGGTTGTCTCATCACATAAGAAGCAATGGTACGAATCAAGCTTAAAATGCGATTTTCTCGGCTTGCTGATTTTTACCATGGGACCGACATGCGAAGAGCGGCAGAACAGATAAGAAAGTTTCCAGCGGCAGGGGAAGTCACATTGCTGTGCCGAGAGAGCCTCGCAAGTGGAAGGCAGAGATTGGCTTCACAACGTTTTAGAACTGATGACGGAATGCCGTCAGGTCCGGCGGCGAACGAGACCTTCAGTTTGCGTGTTGCGGCTATCACCATGTCTTCTGAAATGCGCGGAATAACGAAACTAAACACATCACGTGGTATCCCAACAGTAGCGTCCAGCACTTGTGTTGGCGAAGCGGAGAAATCGTGGAACACTTGCTTGAAATGACGAGCAAACAAGTCGCATTTTTCTCTTTCGCTATTGACCGAGTCATTACCGAGAAACAGTGAGTTTTTTTTTTCTCGTCGTTCATGCCCGTTCCCCGTTCGACGGATTCCGGCTCTAAAGTGATTTTACGACGGACAACTCCCATTTTACTTTCCTTTTTTGTTCATATTTCTAATGGTTGTGGAGCCTTCTCTGACAGCGGCACAGAGGAGAAACTCCGCGGCTGACGTATCCCTGTCTTAAGGAACTCCTGAATGGTTGACGTCACATGGGCATACTTCTTACTCATTGTTTCGGAACGTCGAGGCTCACTTATGCCCGTTTTAAAAAATAAGCGGTTGCATCCCATCACATCCCATCAGTAAGACGAACTGGCGTTTTCCGTTCTGTCGTCTCACGACCACTTCCGGGACGTTTTACACCACCAACCCATCGCTTCTACATTGTACCGCTGTCGTACGGTACTGTTGAAAATATTCTCGCAAAAGCAAGTGAAAAGTGCGTCTGTTCACCAAACAACAATCACTACTCCCTCTATAACCATCAAAGTTATTTCCATAGATCGTTTCACCAAGCGTTGCTATGTAAAATTTTGACAGGTATGATTACGGTTTGAAATTTCGCGAAATGTTCCAACACCGAGGTAAAAGAACGTAAGAATTCCATAAGAACCACCTATGAATTTTAGCCACATGAAATCGATATGAATTTCATAGATTTGCCTTATGAAAAATAATGCCGACAAAAAAAATCAAACGGAGCAGACTGGAGCCCAACAAAGACGTTGATATTACAGGTTTTGTGCCTGGACCATTCGTCTATCCAACGCTTGGGTAAATGGAATGGGTAAAGGCGTATAAGAGCTACCTTATGTTAGACGAAAATCTTTCATAAGTCGCGCTTATGACATTCATATGTGTCGTTCATAAGTCGAGCCTTATGAAATTCTTAAGTCTATTTGCCTCAGTGAATGATAGTGTGATCAGAAATCAAGACCAACAATTCAAATAGGCGGAACAACCAAACGTAAACAATGGCTTTAAACAGAAATTCCTCGAGAATCAAAGCACATCCAAGAAATCTAGCACCATCATCTGATAGAGCAAACTTCCTTTATTGAATGGCATTGTTAGTTTGTGTGGGAGTGTTTTGATTCTCGAGAATGTTGTGTTTAAAGCCATTGTTTACGTTTGGTTGTTCCGCCTATTTCAATTGTTGGTCTAGAAATGATACCAATATGTGCCAGAGTGCGGGAAAAATGTGCGCAAATTGAATGTGATGGTTCTTGGTCAGTACAACCGAACAGAACATTAAATCACAGACAAACAGATGTAACACTTCATTGATTATCTTCGTTCACGCATTTAACGGTTGATTTGAATATTATCAGTTCCGCGAACTACTCGCCGCAGCGCTGGCATCGGATCACTTTGACGTTTCTATACATTCTATAGAACTTTCATGCAATATTGTTTGCAAGCTAGCGAACAAGCTTGTTTTCCGCGAGAAGCCCGACAGATGTCGTTACTGAGGTCCTATGTTTTGATATATGTCGGTGGTATTATCACCGACAAACCGACATGACACTTAATTCTGATTTATGCCCGAAAATCGTAAACGGTCGATTTGAATGTGCAGTGATCCGAACTGTCAAAACCATAGGATTTTTTGATTTAGATAAAAAGAATTCGTCCAGAATAGATCAGACACAAACCAATTCATAACTTTTGCATGCGGGTTCATGGCTTAGCTAAATATTTCCCGCAAACACGGAGCCAGATGTCAGTAGTGTGCTTTGGTCAGAAATTTTATTGGTTTTGCTATGGTCATTCATGTTGGTTTGTCGGTGGTATTATGTCCATTTGAGAAACAATGCTTTGAAGTAAGCGCTACTCAAATGGGCTTTTCCCTGCTCCGAATAAAGTCAAAGAGTCCACAGAATATGTATTTCGAAGACAAAATTCTACATTCCTTGGTCTTGCATCGTGGCAGTAAAGTTGATGTTCGCACCATCTGCATTACAGATTGATCAAAATAGGGGTAATTTTCATAATATAGTTTCCGCTTGACGAGAGCCCAAAAAATCGCGATTTGGCGGAACTGAAGACAATTGGGTGAGATCATATGTTTGGCACGGCCGTATAATCGCCGACGAAACGACGTAACAGCTCATACAAGCTACATTCAAATTCTTGTCCAAGACGCCTTATTTAAAATACGTCTCACCTTGTTTGAAAGATCTGACCGCCCGTTTGACAGATTGCATCGTTCGTTTGACAAATCGAATTTTGGACAAACGAAATGCTCCTGTAGCATGTCGATTCGTCGGTGGTCTAACCTCCTGGGTACAGTGACAGCTGGTAAGAACCAGATCTTTACTGCCGCTCTTCGCATGTCGGTCCCATTTTCGGTTTTTGTCAAAACCAAGTTTTTCATAGAAATTATAGCTAGTCCCCCGTACTTTTATAATACAGAATGAACCCAACAACTTTGTTCTGGAAAAGTTGGGAAAAACAGCAGAACGGGTTGTCCCATTACATAAGAAGCAATGGTGCGAAGCCAACTTAAAATGCGTTTTTCTCAGCTTGCTGATTTATGCTATGGGGCTGACATGCGACGGCAGTTTATAGGATTGATGAATGGAAAACGTTACAAGAGTTGTTAAATAATGTCACTCCGACGGCCTGGCTTCGATTTCTGCCCAGAGCGGAGTTTCAGCTTTGATTGAAACATCACATAAAATACAGAGTCCAATATATGAAAACTTCCCGCAACACCAAGATGCCCGTTGTTGCATTTTACTTACCGTTGCAGAATACTTTCCCCTAATTTCACGTTTCTATAAGCAGAGCGCTTGGATAATGTCAATTGCCGAAAACGAATGCTTTTTCTATTTCGATAGCAACAGCCTGCAAGCATTTACCCGAATATTCACTCAAGCAAACATCAACCGGAGGTATGAACGGAAGGCGCACCTTGACGAACAAACCATAGATATAGTTGCGGATTAGAAGTTCAAGCACAATAACTGCCCTACCAACTGAATGTAGCATTAAATTGCACTGAAAACAAAGGCAGCGTAGAGAGAAAGAGAAACGCATGTCCCAAGCCACCGATAGGCACGCGATTGAATGTGGCACAATCCAAATGGACGGGGACCCCCCATGAGAACCTAGAGCATCGAGGAAAAATGGACAGATCAAGAAAAAAGAACACATAATGGATTCAACGATACTAATAAATACGTATGGATCATGTCGAGGACAATCGGTATGCTGCGGTTGTGCTAGCGAAGAAGGAGCTTCGTTCCTTAAGATCGACATTGTCTACAAGCTCTGTCACCAACGGCCGTTATGCATGCAATGTGTCGTTGGGCTTCCTTCAATTCGTAGTTATGCCTTTAGTTTACTCTTAACCCTTCTTTTTAACCTAACAAAACCCAATCTCCCCTAATAAAACCTTGTTTGTGTATATGTTGATCTGTACATTATCAAAAACTTATTTACAATATACACTCGAAAAAAGAAATAAAAAAAAAATCAACAGATTCCTCCGAAAAGAACAACAAAAATAGTAAAACTATTATTATGTTATCTTTTCCTGAAGGCAACCCTCCTTTCATAATCTGGGGTTTGCAGTGAAGAACGGTAAACACTGACAGGAAGAGCCATGAACCCGCAAAGCAACCACGTGATGATGATGATGATGATGTGATAGCAATGACCAAAGGCCGGCCCAATCGGAATTCCAATTCAGGCAAACGACAGTCCATCCCTTAGTATGACACAAGTTGAAGGCAATTTACTAAGCCGACAGGCAGTCGGATTACCCCTAAGCTGGTCTACCACTGGCACCCAGGCATACATGCGAGGACTAATGCCGAATGACTGAAGAGCTAATGTTTCCTATCATCATCCGTGGTTCTCGGAGGTCCGTACCCCTTTCTCGGCTAGTAGAGTAACACGCGCGTTCGGTTATACTGCTTCGCACAGAAGTCTCCACCCGCCTAGTGATCAACCCCAGACAAGGAGTGCCTATAGTCACACAGAGCCATTGAAGAGAGCGCATAGACACCTTTTGCACGGTTATCGAACCTGATGGTCCTTTTCGATACACTGGGGGAGATGGTCTTCGCCAGACTTAAGCAAAGTACATTCACATTTATATCAATTTTTTTTAGCCTTGCACAAACTATCATTTCTATTAATTTTCTAAATTTTTAAATTAAATTTAAAGATTTATCCATTACACTGATGCGCGCGCCACATGGTCTCAGAGGAAACGTGAGAGCAAGAGAATCAAATAGAGGTCGCCCCATACAAAGCTATAGACACAGAGAGAGAAAGAGTGAGAGGGATTTTCCAGAGTCAGGGTCCAGGACTACCCAAGCCTATTTTAAGTTCATCCTCTGCGTAGCGACGAGCCTTTTTTCGATGATGTTCCACGTGACCAACCACCCCTTCTGGGACAACGTAGTCTAACAGCAGACGGTGGACTGTCGTCGTAGTCCGCGCATCATCTGTTGCGTGCACAATTATCGGTTGCCATCCAACAAGAGCTAGAGAGAAACATATTTTCTTCATTTCTTTTGAATAACACATTAGTTTAGCCCATTTCTGGTTTTGGTAACACCGGTTGTTCGTTTTGGGGACATCCGCTTACGAAGAAATGGAGCCAGTATCGATCGTTCGCCCCTTCCATTGTTTGGATTCACCCGTCCACGGTGCGCTCTGAGGCACGCCAAACATCATTTGACGATGATCCGGTTGGTCGTCCGCATTCACTGAACACAGAATACCGCAAATGCACACTGAACCGAGTGACGAGCGCAGAAGACACAGAGAGAGAGAAAGACAGACAGACCGCAAGTGGCCACATTTCCTAGGGTCCCTTTCTTGAGTGAGAGACACACGTGCGACAATCCCACGCTAGAACGCAGTATGTGTGTGTGTCCTGGCCAAAAGGTAAAGGTCGATTTTCATTCACTTTCATTAGATACATTTCTTTTGTCAAAAACAAAACAAAAACAGCCAAGACCAGTGATTCACCGTAAAACTAACTTTTCTACATCGCCTTTTTGTTTGAATTGTCGTTAAGAGAGAGAGAAAGATACGAGCGCATACGATGAAGATTACGTGAATCTAGTCATAATGAAAAGAATCAGCGAGAGAGGACAAGCGAGGGAGGATGAAACCAGTAGAGGACATGCCCAAAACAAAGGACAAGAATGTTTCCACACCACAAAGCCACAACATGACTAGACTCGGTGCCATTTATAGTCGATGAACCAAGCGAAGCCCTAAAACGATGAGATGTGAGATCATGTCAAGACGGTCGGTCAACGAAAACTACTACCCGAGCACTGCGATCTTGAACGACAGGAGCAATTGATCTATTCACCAAACACTTCAAAAGAAGCTTGAGCTTGGTCCTATGAAATAGCAATATGATGCCAATAACGGAACTGACCCACTTCGCCAAATAACAATCAGACGCCATCGGAAGTGATGTGATGACCAAAGCGAAGCAATTTCATCTTAGCCTGAGAGAAAAAGAGAGCCTACCTGAAAAAAACTGGCGTCCGAAAGGAGACATGATTCTTTTCATTATGACATCCGATAGATTCGTTCCCAATTCATTCGGTCAGGCAGAAGAGCAGGTTTCGCTTAGCAGTTTCGTGTGAAAATAAGAACTCGCGTAGTTAGAGATGAGAGACTTTGTTATCTAGCTTAACTAAGAAGATGGCGTTTTCCTCGATATACTAATTGTTTCTTTTTTGTTATCTTGCTATTTTTGTTCCATAAACAATTGAACGTTCAGGACCTGAAAGACTACATGCGCCAAGCAGGAGAGGTTACCTACGCCGACGCCCACAAGCAAAAGAAGAACGAAGGGTAAGTACCGATTAAACTTATGAGTAAGATTCTCGTCGCTGATGAGATGACTTCCGACGCGACTGGTAGCATTGCAAAAGAACTGTTGAAAGCCGGGGGTCACAATATCAGCTTCAATCGACAAAATCGATGCGACGAAGAGACTGCTAGCTTTCTTTTTTCTGTAGAAATTGAGTACCTAGCTTCGTAGCATTCTAGCATCTCATTCGGCGTCTACAAACCAACTTTCAATCGTTTGCAGGGTGACAACTAGGGGCATAGTGAGCATCCCGTGCACCAGCTTGGACTTCCGACCGTTCTGAACAAGTTGGTTGGTGGTAGGATCAATATCATAATGATATTGAACCTACTACCGGTTGATTTTTATCATGCAGCTGGAGATCCAGAGCCAAACTGCGGGATGCTCACTATGCGCCTCCTCCCCCTACCTGACAAAAAACCTGGAATTATCGGGGAATTTAAAAATGTCTGGATATTCTAAAGCTATTAGTTCTATTAGGTTATTGAATTCAGTGTGTCGACTACCTGGTAGAAGCGGGAGAATCAGGAAATATTAGGGATTTCATTTTCGCATTTCAGTCCCATCTTTGCTTGATTTCCTATCCATATGGGACTGATATGCGATTATGGACAGTTTAGCTCTAAACGGTTTCACTGAGTCGAGGTTGTTCCTTAAGCGGTTTTGGTGCAGGTTAAACCTTTGGCGTCTGTCGGAATCAACGCGCCTACGTTTACGGAGCTTTTTTTCCGTGTTGGGTATTTTGATCACTGCGACCAGTACTTAGATCTATTGTGATATATTCCCCGTTCTAATATTGCATTATCAGCATGTCGTATCACCATTTTATGAAGCGACCGACATAGACTGACCGAAAGCATTTTCTCAGTCAGGTATTACATTTCGAATGAATTGCACTACTTGGCTGGGAACTGAATTCCAAATATCAAAGGATTCTTTCAGCGCATCTTATTGAAGATTGCTGTACAAGAGCATAGTAGGTGTTCAGAGTCTTCTTTTTCTATGCCACATAATCGACACATGTCATCTTGAAGTTTTCCTATTAGCTATTAGCCTATTAGCCTGTTATTAAATCAGTGTGGGGCAGGAGGGGCATAGTGAGCATTCCGCACTTTGGCTCTGAATCTCCAGCTGCATGAAACAAATCAACAAGGTTCAATATCATTGTTTATTGAAAAATTCAACTGACAATTATTGTCTAAATGAATAAAACTTAAACTAAATAGTTACGGTCAACGGTATGGAAAAGGCCAAGTAGCCGATGACGAAACACGTCAGCTGATACATTGAAGTCGAACATATAAAAAAAGTTGTTGAATTGCCGGCTGATTGCTCGAATTGGCTCGTGTTGTGTAGGTATAATTCCGGCTCCGTGGTTCCAAAAACAGAAAGTCGCGTTGACGAAGAGACCTCTCAGGGGCATACATATTTAGCTGTGACAGCAGTGTGTTGGACAGTCAATGTCACCCGTAAGCAGCTTTCCAGCGAACATAGCTTGAGCGACCGTCCGTCTCACCTCTAATGGCTCGATTCCCAGGAGACGGCAACGCTCCTCGTACGGTGGCAAGTTCGTTGGGTCACGCCAGTTGAGGAAACGAAGGCATATCTCACAAACTTGCGTTGAACGGATTCAATTCTACTGATCCAGCTAGCATGGAAAGAGCACCAAACAACTGAACTTGACTCCAATAAGGATCGCACAAGCGAGCAGTAAAGTGACCTGAGGCATAGCGGGTCACGAAACTCGTCGGCAATTTTGAAAGCTCTGGAGATAATGTCATTGTAGTGGATTCTGAAAGTGAGTCTGTAGTCCAAGGTAACACCGAGATCCTTTATAGTCAAACATGATTGGTTCGATTTTTCGGTGATAGGAAAAAATGTTACATTTTTCTATGCTTAAACTCATCAAATTTCTTGAGCACCAGTTAGCAAAAATACCTAACATATTCTGGAGATCCCAGCAGTCCGAGAGGCTTTTAATAATTTTGTAGATTTTCGTATCGTCTGCGTAGAAAACGCGGCATCCTGATGGTATCAGCAAGGCGACGTCGTTTAAAAAGATCGAAAATAGTAGCGGTCCTAGGTTACTGCCTTTCGGGACTCCCGAGTTGTTTGAGAAAACATCCGACAGTCTTCAAATTCACGGACATGGTATCCGATCTAAGAGCAGCTTCGCGTAGTTTGGGATCCATTCCGACTTTGTACGAAATGAAGCTCATATGGCTGATGTCGGATCCTTTTTTGACTAGCAGCAGCTTCTCGATTGATTCAGATTTCACGCTAGGATGAATACGAGAAAGGTACAGCCAAAACAGCTCGGTGGGTTCAGGGACAGTAAGGACCTCGGTAAAGGCATTGTCGCCTGTTATTGCTTTAGAACCACAAACAAGTGGTTTGCTAGTGAGCGAGCCTTCATCGCGGCGCCGTTTTAATGGCGGTTGACACAAGAAATCGGACTTTGTCGGAGTTGTCAATGCGATTCGTTTCGATAGCTGAACAATCTGCTGTTCTTGCTTAGCCATTTCCTTCCTAAGCTCAGCGTGTGCGATTTCCTGTCTCTCGGTGATAGAATTAATCACACTGCCAAACGACGAGACGGCAGTTTTGAACCTAGCACATTTCATCAGCTTGGCGCACTCGTTACACATCCAAAACAGGTTCGGGCTAGTGTGGACAATATTCAAAAAAGCCTTATTCAGCTTTGTGTCGCCGCACTTTAGGTGAATCATCCTGTCGCAAAAAGCCATGTAGGAGCCGGATTCTTCATCGCCTTTAACTGGTTTAGCGCATTGGTCACAGGCGGAAGTCATTCTGACTCAGTTTACAAAAGTGATTTAGAAACAGCGGTGGAGATGATCTAATACGCAAAGAGGAATTGGATTCTCAAGATCGCCCAATGCTAGTCTGATATCGACAATAACACAACAGTATACACTATACAATATCAAGAGCAAATTTTCATTACGTCGAATGTAACAAAGGTAAACAAAGTCGAGCTATCAGTGTCAATCGATACTCCTGCTATTACACTATATAAAGGGTGATACGGTCAAAATTTGGTCAAGGGAAAACGCGTGTAAATCGGTGAAATCGTTTATTTAAAAAATCAAATTAAATTTCTTTTTCAAGTTCAATTAGTATAAAATTCAGGAAAAATATTCAGTTAGGCTTCCGCTTTTCCAAATCCGAATTGCCGGGTCTTACGCTTGACCCCTGCCATCAGATCTTGTACAGCCACCTTGTCCACCTTCTTCGCCGCAGAAAGCCAGTTTGCCTTGAACTGCTGCTCGCCCTTAGCAGTTTTTTTTTGGTCTTATTTAGGTTCCGCTTGACAATAGCTCAGTATTTCTCAATTGGGCGGAGCTCTGGCGTGTTGGGAGGGTTCTTGTCCTTGGGAACCACCTGCACGTTGTTGGCGGCGTACCACTCCATGGCCTTTTTACCGTAATGGCAAGATGCCAAATCCGGCCAAAACAGTACGGAACAACCGTGTTTCTTCAGGAAAGGCAGCAGACGTTTATTCAAACACTCTTTCACGTAAATTTCTTGGTTGACAGTCCCGGAAGCTATGAAAATGCTGCTTTTCAAGCCACAGGTACAGATGGCTTGCCAAACCAGATATTTCTTTGCGAACTTTGACAGTTTCATGTGCTTGAAAACATCTGCTACCTTTCCCCTTCCTTTTGCCGTATAAAACTCCTGTCCCGGAAGCTGCTTGTAGTCGGCTTTGACGTAGGTTTCGTCGTCCATTACCACGCAGTCAAACTTCGTCAGCATCGTCGTGTACAGCCTCCGGGATCGCGCTTTGGCCGTCGTATTTTGTTTATCATCGCGATTTGGAGTCACTACCTTCTTGTAAGTCGATAGTCCGGCTCGTTTTTTGGCTCGATGCACGGTTGTAGACGATACAGCCAGCTTATTTGCGGCATCTCGGAGAGAGAGGTTAGGGTTTCGCTTGAAACTACCGGCAACTCTCTTTGTCGTCTCAGCGGCTTCCGGTTTTCGATTTCCCCCCGATCCAGACTTCCTGGCTGTCGACAAACGTTCCCCAAACACTTTAATTACATTTGTAACGGTTGATTTGGCAACTTTTAGCGATTTTGCCAACTTTGCGTGCGAGTAGCTCGGATTTTCGCGATGCGCGAGCAAAATTTTGATACGCTGCTCTTCTTACTTGGACGGCATTTTGACAACTGAAGAGTGAATTCCAAAATCAAAATAGGAGCAACATTCTACACACACACACATCTTCAAAATGAGGGGTGTTCAGGTTTTTTAAATGCAAAATTGAAAGAAATACGTCAAGTTGATATTGACCAAATTTTGACCGTATCACCCTTTACTTTCCGAATATAGGATCACATCCCATTTTTAAATTTATTTACCAGTCGAATTGCTTTTTGACGTAATCACCTTCCGATCAAAATAGTTTTCGATGTTACTTAAGTTACCCGATTTCTATGGAGATGCCGTTTGCCTTAAGTAACAGCACTGAGAAACCCGTGAAAAGTGTACTTTCGTCGTTTCGCTTTCTCATTATTAAAGTGAATAAATCGAACTGTTTGTTGCTAAGATGATTTCTGTGGTCCTAAAATGATGAATGGGCTGCACGTAATTGATAATTCTCCCGAATATCCTGGTAAATACACTTTGACATAAGTAACAATAGGGGCCACCAAACGACGTATAATAACTTTTGACTAAAAAACCAGTATTTCTTAGCATGAAAGCTAGCGATTTGCCTTTGTATGATTAAAACCCGGCTAAATATGTTAAACATTGCTATCACTATGAGATTATATATGTTTACTTGGAAATAGGAATAACTTTTCGGTCATTAAAACAAAACTTTATTTTTCTCGGATCGGTGCGAATGTTACTTACGACATAATGAAAATTTGCTCTTGAATGTCCGATGTTCACTGTTTTTACAACACAAACTATATTCTAATTA